ACAGTCCTGGTACAGACACCAGAGCTAACGTTAGCTCCGACAGTCCTGTTACGTTGTACCGTCTGTAGTTTTTATTATTACTAAATGTTCTCTGTTCAGACATGTACTCAGATGTAGCAGAAGGGGGTGCTAATGCTCTCAAACAATACCCAATGCTTTGATCAAAAAGACACTGATGTAAAACAGTCGTACCTGCCAGAAAAGCGTCCGTGGACGTCCTTCAGCTGATGAGCGCTCAGGCTGCTGAAGCGCTGCCCATTGGGCCAGCCCAACTCCAGCTCCGTCGCCTTACTGCTGCTGCTGCTGCTGCTGCTGCTGAAGTGATAAATGTTGCATGGAGCTCAAGATCCTACCACTACTAATCCTCTGGTCAATACAACAAAATTCTATGGGTTTTAATGTTTCCCATATGTTTTCCACTCGTGTCACACCCTGACACTCCAGTTCTTTTCTTAGATTATCTGTCTGCCAGCTCTGTGCGCACTTACCCAGGCAGCACGCCTACATTGAGAGTCCACGCTGAAACCTACACCATTACCTTTCCTTACACTCCCTCCTAAAAACGTCTTCCCTCTTTTTTCCAGGATGGTCTTCAACCAGTAGTTTTTTTATCCACGCGTTTCTATTGTGAAATGCGTCTTATTAAGCCATTTGTTTGTTTGGGCAGGTAATGGCTCCACCCTGACACTGCAGCACGTTGCTGGAGGGAGTCTTTTCAGAGGGCCGCAGCGACGCCCTCTGTCCTCCATTCATCACACTACCGTGAAAAAGCCCCGACAGGTCCACGCTGCTGTCGGTCTGCAGACGACTCTCGTTGAACCAATGGGCCAGGTCGGTGCGGGTCAGTCCCGTCCGACCCTCCAGATGACTGAACTCCTCAGGGGAAGGCCACCGGGTTTGAGCAATATCGCCCTTGAGGAGCGCCAGCCATCGACCATCTGGAGGCACTAAGCAGGAGTTGATGTTGGAGCTGGGTGTTGGGACCATGGGGAGGCGCTGTTTTGGAGGAGCTGCAGCTTTGAGGTGCCCAATCCCAGCACTAGGTTTCTGAATCCCATTCAGTTTTACAGTTTGCTGCAGTTGCTTCTCCACGCTGGCTACAAGTCCACCCGCACCGTTCCGTTTGGTGCCCATGGAGTTGAGGAGTGCTTGTTCCAGGTTGTCCCGCAGGGCCCGTCGCTCCACAAACCAGCTCTCGATCTCCTGGTGGGACAAACGGGTGGAGGCTGACAGATTGTCTACTTCACTGTGTGTAGGAAAACTGTTCCTTAGGAAGTTCTCCTCCAGGATCTTCAGCTGTTCGGCGGTCTTCCCCTTCATCCTCTCTAGCAAAGGAAACTGGGTCAGCACCGAGGACTTCTGCTGGAAATCTGGGTGAGGCTCGTCGCCGTCCAAATGTACGACTCCGTTATTGTGAACCCAGTCGGAGTCTGGTAGAGACGTACCATTGGCCTCCGTCAGAGGAGTCAGCACCTGGTCTCCTCTGTTGTAGCAGGTCTTCAGATCCGCTCCGTGCTGCTCCAGTCCTTTATTGCCCTCCAGGGGAAACCCTGGGAGTGGAGCTGCGATTTTAGACGGAGGGTGAACGGACTGAATCACGGCCGGCCTCCGTATCTGTGGTGCGACGTGTGGCGGAGAATTCTGGACCTTCAGATCAGAAGCTGAAAAGCCAGGGCTGTTGAGGGGGTTCTTCTCTTTTGAAGCCTGGGGCAGATGGCGAGGAATAAGCAATGAGTTTTTAAAAGGAGGACCAAAGATTGGAGGAGGAGCAATCATTGGTCGTGTTAGGGACTCTGGGAAAACAATGGAAGGGAGTGACACCAGGGGTTTGGTTTTGGTGTTTCCTAAAGTTGGAAGTGTCTTTCCTTTGGACAACAAGGACGGAGAGGACGGAGACGGTGGCAATAAAGGCACAGCAGGGGGCGGCCTCTTCACCTCGGAGGAGACCAGAGGAACTGCTACGGGTCTCTTCATCTCCTTGGGGCTTTGATCCTTTGGAGGTGGAGGCGGTGGAGGTGGAGCCATTAGTCCTCTGTCTTTTGGTTCACCTGGATGGGGGGCAACGGCCATGATTGGTCGCTTGGACTCTGGGCCAAATGTGGCCGACATGTGTGACTGTAAGGGTCTTTTAAGGGTGTGACAAGAACCAATAACAGCTGCGGCTGAAGAGTTGGTGCCCGCGATGCCAACAGCTATCCCATTGGACACCACCGTTCGGACTTGACCTGGATGCTCGACTGTGGTGTGGACAACCGGCTGCTTTGATACTTTGGTGGACGGCACGGAGATGGGACTCGAGGGTTGGCTGGTGAACATATGGTGGTTGGGGGGAATGGAGCCGTTAAACATTTTCTTCCTTGCCTCCTCCACCTCCTCTGGGGACCAGGTGATGCCTTGCTTTAGCCTCTGGGTGGTGAACCAGACTTTGATCTGCTCCTCCGGGTGCTTGGAAGCTGCCGTAAGCCAGGAGAGCTCAGCGTGAGTTGGGTATGGAAACTTGTTGAAGGAGGTGATCAGCGTCAGGTTGTCATCCAGCGAAGGGTTGTATTTGGTGGTGTTCAAGGGAACGGCAATTTTTGGTACAGAGTTGAGGTTGGGGGGGAGCTGGAGCAGGGGTGTGACATGGGAAAGCCCTTGAAGGATGGTGGGTTCTGGGATTATGACCGTACCATTGATGTTAACGGCTGTGATCTGGTCTTTCTGAATCAGACCATCCAGACTGCTCTTTAGACCACGTCCTTGTCGGAGCACCTCCCCAGCGCTGCTCTCACCGTGTCCATCTCCAACTTCGGATTCCGCTGATTTGTCCTTGCTCTCGATTGTCTGTTCTAAAACTGTCTGATTGTTGGTCTTGATTCTCTTGAACTTGAAGTTGGTCTCTCCTGGGTGCCGGGCACTGTTGTGTTCGCTGAGGGAGTCGAACTTCTTGGTGTTGAAGTTGCAGGGAGCACAAAGGTACAGCGGGTTAAGGATGACGTAAGGATGGCTTGAGTCCACGTGATCTTTGAAGTCATTAAGGTTCTGTGTAACAAAAGGACAGTATTTGCACTCGTACTCTCTGACCGGCTTCTGCTGGGACTCTGGTTCCGAATCGCCGCCTCCTTCTTCCTTGTCTGTGGATTCTGCATCTTCAATAGTAGGAGGTTTGCCGTCTTCGAGCAACTGCTCCTCCTGTTCCGATGGCTCTGAGTTTTGGTTTTCCTCGGGTGACGTTTCCGTCTGACTTTCCGGTGTCTCCTCCTGCTGGTCGACTTGAATCTTTTGAGAAGACTCGGATTGATCTGCTGACCGTTCCATGTCCACGGCCTCCTCGGGTTCCTGCTGCTCCTCAGGAAGGTCGTTGACAACCCGAACCATGCAGGGGTTGGAGGACTTTCTGCGGCTGGACATGACGGCTGCTGGTGCTGACGAAGGTGCTGGTGCTGCTGACTGTGTTGGAGAGTTGGTGGTTTTTGGCTGTTGCTGCTGCTGTTGCTGCTGCTGTTGCTGCTGGTGCTGGTGAAGGATGTGGAGGCTTTGGTCGGGGGTCTTACTGCCGATGACTACAGATGGTGGCGGTGGAGGGTACAGGTCGGTGGGGGCAGTTAGAGTCTCCAGCGTGAGGGTGGGGACCGGCCAGTGTCGCCGGCCCAGGACCGTATGAGCTGAGACGTCTTCGACTCGCGGGCAGTGTCAGCTGCCACTAGGGTCATGGGAGGGCATCACAGACGGCGTCGGCGCTCAGGCGGCGCTTCAGGCTGCGAGGAAACAAAAAGAGAAAGAGACGAGAAAATGACACGTTGATGTTGTTTGTGTTCAGCTTTAAAAAATGCTAATGTGAGAGAAAAACACATGTTAGTCGGAGGCAGGAGTCGTGGAGCTGTTTGTTTGTTTCTGATGTGCTGTCTGTTTTCAAACACCAACAAGACAAAGAGGGGAAGCTAATGCATGATGGGTAATGACAGACGCAGGGAAACAGATAATTTGCACTTTGCTAAAAAGACAAACGAGGCTTTCAGCAAAAAAAAAAAATCTTATTTATTTTGGCGTTGATGAAACACGACAGCAGAGACGTTAGCGTAGACGCTGTCTCTGCGACACAAACAGGAAGTGTTCGGTACTGTTGAAAACAACGGGATCGCAAACCTGATGGATTCCGACCACTTTTGTCCTGGTTTCCCAGCACCACCCAGAACTGGTACTGTTTTCTAGTACTTTTGTAGAACTTCACTTTGGTTCCGACACTCGTTGGCTCAGTTCCAGGTAAAACGTTAAACTATTACGTGGCTCGCAGTGAAACTAGAATATTTTAAACTCAGCCTGGAGCACTCACCACCGTGTGGCGCTGTGACATTGTGACTGGGTCAGTTTAATCAGTGCTTTGATCACGAACCTCGGAGAACTCCTGTAGCCTCCTTCTTTACGCTAATGTGCGTCTTCACATCGCTGTTTTTTGTCTCGTAGCCTTTCCATGTTTTTCGTCACGTTTTTATTTCCTGTGCTCACTTCGTTAAGTCCCCGCCCCCCGTCTTTACCCCCTCTGTTGTTTATTAAACAGTTTCTTTGTTGAGCCGTTCCAGGAGTCAGCTCTAGATCTTTACAGCACCCCCTGCTGGGAGTCCTGTGCCAGTGCAGCTGATCCTCAGTGGATGTTTTTAAATGTTTCTGGTGTTTGTCACCAATCATCACCACCGTCGAGCTTCCCTTCTCTGGCCTGTAAGTGGTGCTAATAACCTATTTAAGGCTTTGTTTATTGATTCCCATGTGCTGGTAGTTCGTCCAATCAGCTTCTCAGGATGTTTTCGCTGGTTCACTGGACACGAGATGTGAACGTTAAAGATGCGCAAGGAGCGCTATACTAGCATGCTAGAATCACAACGTAGTGAGCTAGTCATTAGTGTGATGGTTGTCAGCGCCTCCTGCTGGTGAAGGACAATGAAAGAGTCGGAGCGTGAGACTTGACAGGTGTGAGTGAAATAAAAAAAAACTCCAGAAGGAGTCGTTCCTCGGCGTCAGTCGGAAAAATGACGACGTGACGGAAAAAAAAGTGAAATCAAATCTGAAGTCCATTAAAACGAGATGAAGCTGATCAGGAAAAAAGAGCAGATAATTAGA